CGCGGCGCGCTTGCTGGAGTTGCAGCCGGAGACACGCTTGGTTGCCTGGAAGGCGCTGCAGGAGGCGGAGGAAGGGAGGCTGCGGCCCCGCCGCAGACCTCAGCCTCTGGGTCACCTCTTCTCACCGCTCCCACCCTGGGGTCTCCCTTCTCTTTTCTCACTTCATTTTTTTCCTCCCGCCCCTGGCTCTCTCGCCTGAGTCCCGAACCCACGTCCCTGCCGCACTCCGAGGATGCCCGTGCCAGCCATGAGCCTTTTGTTCTGGGACCGCTCCGCGTCTGCTGCGCCCTCCCCGCCCGGGGAAGCTCGCTCCTCAGGCGCGGCTTGATCCTTTTGCCAGTTACCTACAGCCGGACTGGGGCCGCTGGTCGTTGGCTGGAAAGGGGGCTGGAGAGAGGTACGGCGGCCCCCGAGGAAAGCGGAGTTGCCAAGACCTGGCAGCTCGTGGAAGCGGCGGCCCCGGGAGCCTGGGACCCAGCCGGGAAGATGCGAAGGGACCCAGATCTGTTCCCGGAAAGGGGCTAAACCTGGAGCACTTATCTAATACCCTCTCACTGCCCCTGCTTGAAAGCCCACAGGCGTTTGTGGTGGGGCCTCAGTCTCCAGAAAAGCCAGGTGGTGCTGAGGTGCTCTTGAATGGGTCACTCTGAGTATCAACATGAATGATGCTGACAGATTGCTTCGGATGCCTCGCAACGGAGCCTTACACGTAGTAGATGCTCAAGAAATACTTGCTAAATGAAGACATGAATTGCATGCTGCAGTGTTGAACAGGAAGTAGTTTAAACCCCTACTCTGGCTTCTAGATAAGCTTACTAAAATTTGTTGTTCATTCAACATATATATTGAACTCCTTCCAAGTGCCATCACTGTGCTATGTGCTGGCCATATGGCAGAGAATAAGATAGAGATCTTGCTTTCATGGGGCTTACTATTTAGTGCCATAAGGTCCTGTTAGATTGTTGTTGCCTTTACTTACTCATAGAAATTGCCCAGCTCATTCCCATGCCTGCCAGCTGGGGTTCTAAAATCCCACACTAGCAGCTGATCTCTGAGTTGCATGCCACTCTAGGGCACCTTGAGGCTTTTGGGGAGCCCTCTGTCAGCAGCATCTTTCTCACCATCCATCCCTCACTATCACATCAAGGTTTCTGGGTCCAAGAACAAGACCTACAGAGGTCTGCTGTGGTCTGTAGGAAAGGTGAGTGCTTTGTCACTCAGGCTGGAGCCCTGAATTCTCTGCAAACCCCATTCAGGCAAAACCGGTACCAATCTGATGGTGCTACTCTGACTCTTCAGCCCTTTAGGCAGGTTCCCCGGGTGCTTCAGAAGCATCTTCCCTGGACTCTGTAACCACACTTTGCCTCTCTCTACTAGGACTGGGAGGATGGCTAAGACATAGAAATCAAACAAACAAGGAATCTCTGTTTCTCCCAGTCCTGCCCGGAGACACCAGTGTGTATGTAAATTCTGTTCTCAAGTCCAGAGGGAGCTGCTTCTAAGAAAGGCTTTCGAACCTCACTCTGCACTCTTCTCTTTAACTGTTCACGGGCAGCTGGACTCTCGCACAGTCACTGCAATACAGTGTTTTTGCCTGCATCAGAGCCAGAGAGGGGTATCAGCGGAGAAAGATACCCTCTCCTGAGTCATCAGAACATGGGGAGGCATGATTGACATTTACTGAATTCCCCCTCACCATCTCATATTCCCTCTCCATTCATCTTTGTTACATCATTTTGCAGAAGCTATAACTGGCCTCCTTTTACAGATGAGAAGATCAAGGCTCAGAGAGATAAAGACAGACTCCCAAGGTCACGATATGGGGATTCAAACCCAAGTTTGTAGGACACAAAGGTCCATGCTCTCCATGCCAGAACCTTGTGAGTTCATCCAGTCCCCAGACCCATGAATCTGACCCTGAACCTGTCTGATGGTTTCGTTTGGGTAATGAAGGTCTAAATATGATATTTTCTAAGCCTCCAGGCCCTCTTCCTTTGCAAAATGAATTGAGCTATCGTTGTGTTCTGGGGTCTGCTTCCAGGATTTAGTTCAGTGTTCAAGGCAAATTTCTGTGGCAGGAAATGCACCCTTAGAATGCAACATCATTCAGCCAATCAACAAACGTTTATTGAGCATCACTTGGGTACAAGACAGGTTGCAGGTCCTCATTAAAAGTTATTTGGGGCCCTCGGTAATAATGATCTTCCCCAGAATGGCAACAGCAGGATGGTTATGAGGGGAGGGCTGGGGATGGGGAGGTTGGGGTAGACTCTGTTAGGGTAGGGAGCAGGATCAGTGTCTAGTGCTCCTGGTCTGCCTTGAAGACGTGCACTAGTCGTTGGCCCTTAGGATGATCTCTCTGCTTAATCACTGGATACCGCCCCCTCCTTTCATTTCCCCACTTCCAACCTCTGGAGCTTTCTCTCACCTCCACTTTCATTCTCCTTCTCAGAATGTAGACAAAAACAAGTTTGTGACTCCCCCCAGAAAAATCCACCAAAATTAGGTAAATAAATCCCAGTACCGTTTCCCACAACGTGCCTGAAATCAAACACAACTCCTTCTCTACTGCGTATTTGGAATGGACTGTATGGAGTGGGGATGGAGGGAGACCTCCTCCCAAGAAAACTTAGCCCTTTGGGCTACTGCAATCCCTTTTCATCCCCTTCGGTTCTACCCTTTGGTTATTTACAGGCTGGCCTTCACTTACCCAAGGAAGGAAAGAAGTCGTCTGTGTAGAGAAAAAACATCCAAAAAAGATGCCGCGCCAAGCGGCTCGGTCTCCCTCTGTGCCGCTGCAACTTCCATGGCTATTGCTTCAGGCGGCTTAAGTCCGGTGGAAACAGACTGCCTAGCTTTCCTGCGGCAGGAAAACAAAACATCGTGGCGCAAAGTCTCCCCGCGCTCGTCGTCCCCCAGCAGAAGACCCGGCCCTCAGTGCACTGGGTGGCAAAGCGCTGTTGTCGGGCGCACGGGTCTCTGCAGCTCAAAACCTGTCTGGCCAAAGCGCAGCAATAGTTGCTGCACCACTTTAATGAATGCCGTGTGGTCCAGCATGGGAAGGCTGGGAAAGCCCGAAAACCCCAGTCATCTCTGGCGACGAAGTTTCTCCGAGTTGGCTGGCTCCCTTACCCCCTCCCCACGCTCCAGCCCGGGGTGTCTGTGAGACCGGAGGAGACGCTGCCTGTCGCGTGGGGAGTCTCGGGGTGGCTGGCAATGATCAGCTCAGTCAGAGAAGAGTCGAACACGGATTCCGGGGCGAGGCACGAGAATTTCCTGGGACAGCGAACGGCAGGGAGTGATGAAGCAGCTTGGGGAATCCTGTTTAGTGCCAGTTCTGCAAACAGAAGAGGGAGGAGACGGTCTGATTAGAATCTACTTTGAATTCACGAATATTAGACTAAATTCATTAATCTGCCTTGGATTGTTTCCCTTTGATTTCATCCCTCTTCCCTGAAGTCCAGAAGAAATCTCAGCCTTCCATCTTTTCCCCACCCCAAGACACCTCCAAGTCCTCTTCCCAAAAGAACTGCAGTCAGGTTTCCATGTCATTTTGTGAAAATACCCCCCGCCACACACACACCCTCCACCACACACACACACACACACACACACACACACACGCACGCAAACATCCCCTTCATATACCCACTCAGTGGTAGTAAAACTGATAGCGTTATACACTCACGTTAACTTGAACGTGCCCCACCAGAAATTTTCTTCCCCCTAGCCCCACCTCGTGAAGTTTCCACATTGGTCTCAGCGTTTAAGCATGCCTACATTTGTTTTCTAGTCCCAGCCGACATCTGCAAAAACACACCCTTAAATATATGTTGCTCTAATCCTGGGCTCTGCTTTTGGCTTGGGAAAACTAGAGACACATCACAAGTGAAAGGACAGAAGGTGTCATGTGTCATACACCTGGAAGCATGAAGCTAGGCCGCTCGATAACGAACTCTGTATGTGTAAGTCCTGCAGATTTATTTGGATGACTCAAACCTCTAATTGGGGATTAATGAGGATAATATACTATAAACTCCAAAGAAGTTGTAATTAAAGTGTCAGGCTGATGGATATGATTCATAACCAGGAACTGTGTCCTCTTTCCCTATAAGTTATCTATTTAAAATCTTAACCCTTAGGACAATATTTTTATGCTCCTATAAAGCATTGTGCCAAACATCTTAACAAAAATATACAGAGCTACAATCGTGCTTCTTATACAACAAGTCTTAAAGTGTTTTTATCTCTCTGGATTACCACCAAACCATAATCCCGGGTAATTTTTTAAAGAGATGGAGCTAGAGGCCGGGCGCGGTGGCTCAAGCCTGTAATCCCAGCACTTTGGGAGGCCGAGGCGGGTGGATCACGAGGTCAGGAGGTCGAGACCATCCTGGCTAACACGGTGAAACCCTGTCTCTACTAAAAATACAAAAAACTAGCCAGGTGTGGTGGCGGGCGCCTGTGGTCCCAGCTACTTGGGAGGCTGAGGCAGGAGAATGGCGTAAACCCGGGAGGCGGAGCTTGAGTGAGTCGAGATCGC